GCCATTGGGCACGCCGCTCTGTGGTCACCTCTGGCGTCCAGTCTGCCTCTGCATCTGCAAGCGCTCGCTGCGAAGGGTAAATCAAATCGCAAGCGCCTGAGGAGCAGGACTCTGAATTCTGCCGGCGGGATGTGGAAGTCCCCCGTCGTGGGCAGCGCGGTGAAGGCTCGTCCCGCGCACGGCCCGCTCTGTGACCGGAGGAGGGCGCGGTCCGGTGGCGTGGAGGCGTTGAGGAGCTGCTGTCGGGCTGTGTTCTCCAAGACTCTGGCGGCCCAGAACTGCCAGCCGTGCGCCCATTCGCCGCGCTCCCGTTCGTGCGTCGGCGGTGGCCGGGCGCCCTGCGCAAGGTCGTGCCAGTGAGAAGGCCATGCGGTGGTTAGGTGCGCCCCAGAGCCGCGCGGAGTTGGCGGCCGCCTCCAGGGACTTCCTAGCCCTGCTGCACCTGGCTCCGGCGTGGCCAGATGGGGTGACTCGCCATGCGGGCACCGAAGCTGGCCCCCTATGGGCCTTCGCAGTGGAGCTGCAACATTTTCTCGCGCGCGCGCTGCTCCCGTCGCTGATGGCGCTTCCCGGGATCTCTCGCATTGTGGGGGGGCCCTACGTTGGGGGAGTTCCCCAGGCTGCTGCCGCAGAAGCGGCTGGGCGCGTCCTGGGGCCTGTCCCGCCCGCGCGCCCACTCTTCCGCATTGCCACGCTGAACCCGGGCCGCACGGGTTTTCTGCACCTTGGTACGGACTTAATTCTTGAGTGGCGCCTGGAGGCAGTCGCACACGCTCTTGTCGAGCATGGCGTTGATGTCTGTATCCTGCCTGGCTCGCGGTTCCCGCCGGGCGCGTGGTTACCGCCAGGCTTTCCTTTTGTTTGGATTGGCCCGACGTCCACGGAGTGGGACACCGTGGGCCTCTTCGTGAGGCCCGAGTTGGAGCAGGCTGTCAGATTCGTTCCGGAGGCGTCGTCGGCGCGTGAGCAGTGGTTTGAAGTTTGGCCCTCCGCGTCGGCGCGCTCTCCGTGCCTCGTTCTCTGTGCCATGTACCCTGTCCATGGAGGAGACAGGGACACGTGGTCCTCTATCGTTGCCCATGCCGCGGAGTTTCAGGCCAAGTACCCGCTTGCCCGGCTTTTAATTGGGGGTGACGGGAACGTGCACCTCACATACGTCGTCTCGCATGCGGTGACCTGCCGCTGCCTGCACTGCTCCCAACGCGGCCCTGACAGAGATATCCAGGCACTGCTGGACAGGGCTAACCTCAGGGCGTTCAACCCCCCCAAGCCGACCCACTCCTCCGGCACGTGCATTGACATTTTTATAGGTTTGCGCGGCGACCCCCTACCTGTCCAGGTGGTGGAAGATTTCATAGCCCTTTCGGATCACAAGCTCGTCCTACTGGATGCGCCCTGTCTGGTCGAGCCGCACTTGGCCGCTGGCTTTGGTCGAGTAGCGTGGACCTCAGGTGCTGAATGGGAGGCCAGCCTCAGTGAGGTTGCGCCAACTTTGGCCGCGCTCGCCCACGCGGTTGAGCTTCTCCTGGAGTCCCAGTGGTTGCGCCCGGCCTGGCACGGAGGCTCGGCCACGAGGCTCCATCGCCGCGCAGTCCTAAATGTGGCTGCATGGTGCCGCGATGCAGTGTACACTATTGTTGGCCATGGCTCAGGAGCTGTCCGCCTTGTCGGGGGACCCGCGAGAGCGAGGGCACCAGCTGCGGTGCCGTTAGCCCCCTCCGCTTTTTCTAGCTTTGCTGACTTTAAACGGGCGACTGAAGAAGCAGCCTGGCAACAGCGTCGGAAGTCGGTGCACCGTTACCTACGCCTCCGGGAAATTAATAAAGGCGCCGCGGAGCGCTTCTTGTCTGGATTCTTCAAGGACGCGGACAGATTTGATATCCAGCTCGTCAGCCCAGTGACAGGGCGCACCCAGTCCACGAGCGAGATGCTCGATGCAATTCAGGCGGACCTGTTGGGGCGCGCTCAGAACGATTTCCCCCAATGCCCTGTGGAGAGGGACCGCATGTCTCGCGTGGTCTCAGGGATCCGGCGCGCAGGAGCCGCGTCCGGGCCCGAGCGCGCGCAGCCACTGTACAGCGAGACCGAAGTCGAAGAGGCCATTGCCTTGTTGAAGCTTGGTAAACGGACTGTGCATTTGTGCAACGCAGCGGTGAAGGCGCCAGTTCAAGAGGGTTTCCGCCTAACGCGGGCGCTGTTGAACTTGGGCCGCCGCCTTTGTGTCACGTCTCGCTTCTGGTCTCTCCGGCAGTTTTCACCTCTTCGGAAATCAGGCCCTCCCGTGGTCAGAAAGGTCTCTGCCCTTCGACCCGTGTCCTTCGCCAGCGACATGGCGTCTGTGCAAGACGCTTTGTGGATAGCGCGGAATGGGGCCCTCATTGAGGCATATTGCGGTGCAGCCCAACAGGGCGGGGTTGGAGACCCTGTATCCCAGGTTCTTGCCCTTGTCCTCAATGCGCAGCTACGACGCGCGTTTGACTGCCCAACCTGGTGGGCCATAGCTGACAATAAATGGGCTTTCGATGTCGCCTCGATCGACGGCATGCTCCTCGGTGCATACAGCGCCGGGGTCGAGGGGGCCGATTGGCTCCTCTTGGACGACATCCTGGCCCAAGACCAACAGACAGTGGGGCTCCACGGCCTGCTCTCTCCGGTCTTTTTCTTGAAATGTGGAACTGCCCAAGGTCGTCGCTTCTCCGTGCATATTTGTAACGCGCAGCTACGCGCGCTGCGTGACGAAATCTCGGAAGCACTACCCGGTGGATGCGCTTCCTGCATCCCGCTGCTGATCAGAAGCGCCCTTTTGGATGCGGCCATTGCTACGCCCCCCGCATGTAGGGAAAGCATGCCCTGGCGAGACCTGCCGGTTCAGGAGTTTAAGTCGAGTGTTGCGGGCATCTTAGAGCAGGCGGCCCCCCTTGCGGCGTCTGCTGAAGAGCGGCTCCGTGGCGTCTTCCAACGCCTCCCGGTGGAGGCGGACCGAGTGGCGCTTGCCGAGGCTACAGGGTCTTTCCATTTGCCTCCGGTTCAATTTGTCGACGATATCACCACGCCGTGCCCGTCTGAGGGCGCCGTGCGGGCAGTGATCTCCGATGAGAGCACCTCGGCATGTAGTCGCTATGCGTTCCGCATGAAGTCCTCGTTCACGTATGAGCGTGACAAGACATGCGTTTTGCCCTTGCTTGGTGCCCCGATCCCAGGCCGACCAGGTTGCCCAGTCGTATCTCAGAAACACCTCCTCGGTGTTCTTGTCGATTCAGGGCTGACTTTTGGCCCGCTGCTGAACGAGCTCTGTGCTATCGGCGACTCCTGTTTCAAGAAGTTGCTTTTCGCGGCGGAGAGCGGAGGTTTTTCTGTGCCGGTGGCGGCCGCGCAGGTGCCGCCTCGTGTTGAGGCAGCTGTTCTTTTTGCGTGTCCGCTCCTTGCAGGAGTCCCTGGCGCCGAGGCTCGTTTCAACAAGCTTCAGGTGGGGTGGGGCCGCCGACTGCTGGGATGCCACGGCGGGCCGCCCATCAAGCACGTCGTGGTGGTCGCGCAATGCGGCTGGCGCATGCGAATGGGCACCCGGTTCATCGAGCGTGCGCTCATGGCTCGGGCTCGGCTAACCGTGCTCCCGCCCGACCATCCTGGCGCAATCATGTACCGTGCTTCGCGCGCCCTCTGCGTCCCCACCTGGCTCTCGGACGCAGCGGCGCTGGCTTCCCGCCTGCCAGACCCGCCTCCTGACCTGGATTCTCACCCTTTGTTTCCCCCGGAGGCCCTCCGCGCTGCCCAGCTCGACCCAGCCCGAAGGAAGGTCCTCCTGCGGGAGTATCGGCGCTTTGCCTTGCGCCCGGCACTCCTCAGATACGACCAGCAGGCCTTCGCAGCGGGGGCCTCGCGGGTTTTGCCGAGCCTCAATCGGTCCTTTGCAGCGCTGTGCCCTGGTCCAGCACTCCCCGATGAGGGCATGCTGACCTGGGAGCCGGGGCCCTCCTTTTGGAGGTACTACCGTCTTTGGGCAGTCGCCCGGATGACGGGGGCATGGCCGCTGCCTGTGTTAGGCGAGGTGGAACTCCCAGAAACCATCCCAGTGTGCCGTGCATGCCGCAGGCGCGGTGTCTCGCTCCGGCATGTCCTCGTTCGCTGTCCGGCCTTAGACCGGGCGCGCAAGGCACTGCCAGGCGTGGGGGAGGGCCGCGTTGGGCCGTCCGTCACTCCTGACTTGCTCTTGCAGATGCTTTTTTGTGAGGGCGCGGAACCTGTGGCCCGTGCCAGCCACATTGTTTTCGTGGGCCGCGCAATCCTGCGCGCGGCCCCCAGGCCGGCCTCCTCCTCCTCCTCCTTTTCCTCCTCCTCCTCCTCCTCCTCCGCCTGCCATTCTTAGCTTGCTGCGTTAGGGCGCGCCGCGCGCCCTTCCATCGCTGCCCCCCTCGCGTGGCTGGTCCGGGGGGCACTGTCCGCCTCTGGCGGGGAGGGCGCCGTGGTCGCCAGGGGGCCTGAGAGGGCCGGGGGCCTTCACGCGCGGTGGCTGTATCAGCAGTGGGATCGCGAAGGGGCGGGCCGCCAAAATGCTTTCATTTCGCTTGTTTGCCCATGTCCCCCCTTGCCCGTCCTCCCGTGGTCTTGCGATCTTGCCCTCTCTCTGTCTCCCTGTCTCTTGCTCTCTCGGTCTCTCTCTCTCTCTCTCTCTCGCTGGTCTAGGTAAGTGTCGCTTCCTGTTGATTGATCTGATCTCACGATTGTGTTTCCCCGTCCGTCTCCCTGCTGCTCCCGCCTCCCTTGCTCGTCTGTCTTATTGCTTCCCATAGCGTGTCTTGACACCTCAATGGCCCCTTCAATTGTTGCTTGCGCTCCTTTCTCTTGCATGTCTGACTTGCCTGCCCCCCGTCGACGTCGTCCGCCGCCTGCGTTCTGCGGGCGGGGGGGGAACGTTGGACCCCCCGCGCCACTCGTCACGCACCAGCCGGGGGAGGAAGGGGTGTGAGAGACCACCGCCTTGCCTCCGTCGGCTGGATGGCTCAGACCTGCACCCCTGTGGCAGTCCTGAGTCGCAGCGGCCGCGGGGCCGGGCGCCGGGCGACCGGCGCGCGGACCCGTGGACGGCTGTGTATAAGCGAAATGTGAAAATGTGAAGCCGTGCGCCGAGAGGTGCTCCTTTGCCCTGCTGGCTTGTTGTAAGCACCCGGGAGCGGCCGGCAGCGGGCCCCGGTCCAGCTCGCTCAGTGCAGCGCAGATCTGGTTTGTGAGCTCGGGGCAGCGTTCGCGGAGCATCTGCGCGCAGTCTGCCCAGGAAGCCCACCAGGCCGCCGGCGCCGTCCTGGACGCGCTTCGCAGGCCGAGCCCCCCCATGCAAAGCGGCAGTTGGCAGCGTTGGCGCGCTGACGTGCCTTCTGCGACAGCTTCTTGCGGGAGTTCCAGCAAGTCGGCGAGCGCGTTGGCCAGGTTGTCGTCGTGCGCTGCGGCGAAGGCGGCCGTGTCCTCGGGAGCCAGCGCCCTCAGGAAGAAGTTGGCCCGGGGGTTGGCGCACATGCTGAGCAGGAGCCACGAGGATTGCAGGTCCCCGACGTGTGGTATCCTCGCGAGCAAGCGGCGGTGTTCTTCCAGGATGGCCTCCAGGTGTTGGGCGACGAAAGCTCCGTGGCCTATCGGGGCCCCCAGAACGACCAAGCCCTGGGCTTCCGGCGGGGTGTCTGCTCCTCCTACCCACACCCGGTCTGCTGCTGAGCCCAGCTCTCGGATGCCAAGTGGCTCCTGCCCTCCCCTGTTCCAGACTCGCGTCTTCCCCATGTTCACGCTGATGCCGCAGTGCGCTTGGAGGGCGTCCCGCACGGCGTTGAAGAGGAACCTCGCTCTGTCTGGCGTGGTGACCAAGTACACGTCGTCAAGGAAGGCGAAGATGCGCTCCCCAGGCCGGAGTATGCCTTGGACCTGTTGCAGGGCGGGGTGTTGTCCCAAGGCAAACAGGGCTGGCATGAGCGGGTCTCCTTGCTCTCCTCCTTCCGCCTGGTCGATCGCGTGCCCTTGTCCCGCGTCGTCACGCCACCAGTACTGCGATCTTTCCCCGTAGAAGAGGCGGCAGAAGGGAAGCGCTACCCCTGCCCAGGTTTGCTAATCCTTCGAGCATCGAGTTTCTGGACATGAGGTCGAATGCCCCGATTCCGTCTATGGAAACCACCGTGGCCGCCGGGTCACCCTGGGTGAGAGTCTGCACGAGGTGCGCCACGCATTCCGTGCCTGCTCGGGTCGAGAGTGCGAACTGGAAGGGGGCAGTCGCCTGCTCGACCTCTTCGCCCACTTGCTGCGCCAGCGTGCGGGCAACCAACCGCCTGAAGACGTCGCCAGTCACAATGCCTCGCACCCTCCCGTTGCTCTTGCGCAGCGCCGTGAGGCGGCCGAGCCGGAGGGCCTCTGCCACGGGGCCAGGGATTTCCGCCCTCGCAAGGAGCGTGGCAGCGTGGTGCAGGAGGTCGCAGCAGTGCTCGTCGTCCAGCAGCGTCTGCAAGTGTTCTCCCGTCATCCCTGAGGGGCCCGGCGCAGCGCCCCGGCGACTCCTGCGCACGTTCGTGAGGAGGCGGTCTGGTTCCAGGCTGGCGAGGCCTTGCGGCGGCGCGCGGGCGGCTCGCTCGCTGAGCTGCTCTCTCGGCTGCTGCAGGCGGCGTGCCGGGTCCCGGAGTTCGTCCAGAGTGGCCTGTGTGCCTGGTGCCACCGCGCTCGCTGTCAGCGCTTGCCGCGCCGCCGAGACCTCGCCGAGGCGGATCAGCTCGCGAGCCCTCTCGCAGCGGCTGCGAAGCTCCTCGTTTTCGTCTGGCGCCCGGCCCCGTCGTGCCTCGGGCGCCCTGCTCTGCCCGTTCGCGTCTCGCTCGGGCGGCCTGCGCGGCGGGCCCGGCTGTGCTTCTGTCAGAAGCTGCGCCCAGTCTCCAGCCTCGAAGCGGGTGAACCTCTCCAGGAGTTGCTCCTTGGGGATCCTTTGCTGCCCCGCCTCTCTCCTCAAGAGCAGTCGTGGGAGCAGGAGGAACAGCTTCCACCCTCTCGCTGCTCCTGTCTCGTCTGCTTCGCCCTCTCGGATCAGCTCCAAAGCTTTGCGCAAGGCGTTGCGGAACGGCCCCCGCGCGAACGCTGGCGCCCGTTGGAGGGTTGGCACGCGGGCCCGGAGCACAGATGCTGCGTCTGTCGCGTCCAGCGCTTCCCTCTCTGCCGCCGTCAAGCGAGCGCGGGCGTGGGCGGGGCGGCGCCCCAGGGGCGCCCGGGGAGGAGCAGCTCGTCCCGCGCCCCCGTCTCGGCGGGGCTGGGCCAGCGGCGCGGGCAGCGCGGGGCCAGAGTTGCTGGAGGCGCTGTCCTCAGTGTCCTCCTCGCTCTCGCTGGCGGTGCTGCTGCTCGAGCTGCCTCCTCCCCCTCCTCCCCCTCCTCTGGTGCCTCTTCCTCTTCGGCCCCCTCTAGCGCCTCGCCCTCTGCTTCCTCTGGCGCCTCTTCCTCCTCTGCCTCCTCGGCCTCTGCCTTCTCCTGGGCCCCCCTCGCTGGCGTCGTCGCTGGGCTGAGGTCCTGCTGGCGCCGCTGGTGGCGGCCTCGGCGGGCGTGGCGCGGCTGCGGCCCACCTGGCCGGGTCGCGGAGCTCGTCTGCGCGCCGGTCGACCCCCCGCGCCAGCACGACCCCCCCGAAGAGCTCGAGCAAGAGGTCCTGGGCGAGGTTGTCGATGTAGCCAGCGCTGTCCGCCAGCGCTCTGACCACAGGCGGCAGGTGCACGTGTCCAGGGCGTGCTCCGCCCCCAGCGGCGATCACGGCATATATCGCCCCTGGGCTGGCCCCTGCGAACTCCAGCCCTTGGGCGAAGGTCTCGGCTGGCACGGAGTCCGCTTGCTGCAAGGCCTCCACTGTCGGCTGCCACCAGTCGTGCGTGAGCGGGTGCGTGCTCCATCCCGCCGCCTCCTGCTGGTCAAGCAGCCCCGCCGCTGCTAATAGCAAGGGCACGTACACGCGTGAGTTGGTTCGTTCTCGTAGTGGGCCCGCCAGGGGAGGCCATCCGGCGAAGCGGCCAGGCTGCCGTTGCTCTGCGGCGGTGGGCGCCTGTTCGGGGCGCGCCAGTCGAGGGTCTCCTGCGTCTGCTGTTGTCGCGGGCGGCGACGGAGGGGCGGCAACCACTGGCTCCGGAAGCGGCGTGGCGGCGCAGCCCTCGCAGAGCCAGGCCCCGTACCATCTCCACGACCCTCCTGTGGCCCTGGCGGCCCTGGCGACCCACTCGATTGGCCCTGGCCGTTCGCAGGGGCAGCGCGGCGGTCTCGCGCCCTGCGGCGGCGAGACGTCGCTACCCAGGGGGGCCACGTCGCAGGCGCGGCATTCCCAGCTGCCCGCCAGCCCGCTGGGCCCGCGAGAGTGCCGCCACCGCAGGGGTTGGAAGTGTCGCGGGCAGACTGCGATGGCGTGCGGCGCGGGCCCTCCTGGCTGCTCAAGGGGTCCTCCTGCGTAAGGGTCCGCCTCCTCCTCACTTGGCGGGCCGGCCGCGGCTCGGCAGCGTGAGCACCTGCACCCTCGGGTGGGGTAGTCTCCAGAAGCGCCCAGGGATCCCACGAAGCTCGCGAGCGCCGCCACGCCACCCGGCGAGTCCCCCCACGGGCTGTTGCAAAGGGGGCCTGGCGACCTTTCGGCACGGGATGCGTCACCTGTGTGGTACAAGTGGGCCAGGCCTGCCCGTGTCGGCCGATGCCTCGCTGCGCACGCTGCGTGGAAGCGGCGGGGGACACGGCCGCAAGCTGGCCACGTCACGGTGTCCCCTTCGAGCGACGTCTGGCAGATGGCGCATTCCTCCGTCTGGCCGGTCTGGCCCCTGCTGTTGCTGCGGTGGCTGTCGCTGCTCCTCGGCCGCCTCGCGCCCTGCTGGCGGCAGGGAGAGGCCTGAGAAGTCCCGGCGGGTTCCCTCTGGTTCAGGGGGCGCTGCCGGCCAGGCGCCGAAAATGCTGGCGAAGTGGTTCAGCTGCGGTGGTGGTGGCGGTGGTGAGGCCGACCGCGCGCCCGCTCGCGAGTCTGGCGTGGCAAACCCTTCCGGCGCCGACAGCATGTGCGGCGGCGTCTCCGCGAGCGCTGGTACCGGGGCAGACTCTCCCGATCTGCGTTCCGGCGTGCCCGGCGGCTCGTCGGCTGGCCCGGGGGGGCCTGGGTGGCTGGCTTCGCCGACCCGTTGTCCGCGGTAGCCGTAGAGCGCCTCCCGCGGACTCCTCGCCAGTGCGCACTGCTCCTGTCGTGGTGGTGGCGGTGCTTGTGCTGGCGCTGGTGCTGGTGGCGGCGCTGTCGGTCGCTGTCGCGGTGCTGCTGCTGGTCGCTGTGTTTGCGGTGGCGTTGGTGTTTCTGCTGGTCGGTGTCGCAGGGTGTCGTTGTGGTGGTTGCCCTGCTGCTGCTGCTGCTGCTGCTGCTGCTGCTGCTGCTGCTGCTGCTGCTGCTGCTGCTGCTGCTGCTGCTGCTGCTGCTGCTGCTGCTGCTGGTCGTCGTGGTGGTGCCGCTGAAGCTGGTCGCAGTGGCGACGCTGCAGCTGGTGATGGTTGTCGTGGTGGTGGTGTTGCTGCTGATGTTGCTGCTTGTCGTCGTCGTTGTGCTGCTGCTCGCGGCGCCCCTGTTGGGAGTCGTACCGCCTCTTGTGGTCGAGCATGTTGTCGCGTTGCTCCTGTGGGCTTTCTGCACAAGCCGGGGCGCCACCGGGGGCCGCAGCGGAGCCGCGCGAACCCCGATGGGGAACTGGCCCCAGGGGGGTCCTACCGTGGGAATGGGGCTCTTCCCCTGGGGGGCACAGGCTGCAGCTGACGCCAGCCCCCTCCCTCGGAAGGGGCTGGAGGGCTGGCGGCCAGACGGCTGGAATGGCCGTCTGGGGCGGCGGAGGGCCCTGCTGGCTGCCACTGCTGCTGCTTTTGCTGCTTTTGCTGCTGCTGCTGCCAGGGAACTGCCATCCGCAGTCGTTGGCTGCGTGCTGTGGTGCTGTGGTGGTGCTGGTCGTCACTGTGGTGCTGGTCGTTGGGTGCGTGCTGTGGCGCTGGTCGTTTGGTGCATACTGTGTTGCTGGTCGTTGGTGTTGGTCGCTGTGGTGCTGGTCGTTGTGGTGGTTGCCCTGCTGCTGCTGCTGCTGCTGCTGCTGCTGCTGCTGCTGCTGCTGCTGGTGGCGGTGGTGGTGGTGGTGGTGGTGGTGGTGCTGCTGCTGCTGCTGCTGCTGCTCTGCTGCTGGTCGTCGTGGTGGTGCCGCTGCAACTGGTCGCAGTGGCGACGCTGCCGCTGGTGATGGTTGTCGTGGTGGTGGTGTTGCTGCTGATGTTGCTGCTTGTCGTCGTCGTTGTGCTGCTGCTCGCGGCGCCCTTGTTGGGAGTCGTACCGCCTCTTGTGGTCGAACATGTTGTCGCGTTGCTCCTGTGGGCTTGCTGCACAAGCCGGGGCGCCACCGGGGACCGCAGCGGAGCCGCGCGAACCCCGATGGGGAACTGGCCCCAGGGGAGTCCTACCGTGGGAATGGGGCTCTTCCCCTGGGGGGCACGGGCTGCAGCTGACGCCAGCCCCCTCCCTCGGAAGGGCTGGCGGCCGGACGGCTGGAATGGCCGTCTGGGGTGGCTGAGGGCCCTGCTGGCTGCCGCCGCTGCTGCTGCTTTTGCTGCTGCTTTTGCTGCTGCTGCTGCTGCTGCTGCTGCTGCTGCTGCTGCTGCTGCTGCTGCTGCTGCCAGGGGGCTGCCGTCCGCAGTCGTTGGCTGCGTGCTGTGGTGCTGTGGTGGTGCTGCTCGTCGCTGTGGTGCTGGTCGATGGCTGCGTGCTGTGGCGCTGGTCGTTTGGTGCGTGCTGTGTTGCTGGTCGTTGGTGTTGGTCGCTGTGGTGCTGGTCGTTGTGGTGCTGTGTGCTGCTGCTGTTGCTGCAGCTGCTGCTGCTGCTGCTGCTGCTGCTGCTGCCGCCGCCGCCGCCGCCGCCGCCGCCGCCGCCGCCGCCGCCGCCGCCGCCGCCGCCGCCGCCGCCGCCGCTGCTGCTGCTGCTGCTGCTGCTGCTGCTGCTGTGTTGGTCGCTGTCGCGCTGGTCGCTGTGGTGTTGGTCGTTGCTGTGGTGCTGGTCAATATCGCCGCCGTGGTGCTGGTCTTGGTACTGTGTGCTGCTGGCGTGGTGTTGCTGGTCTCGTGGTCTTTCCCTCAGTGGTCGCTGTGGTGTTGCTGGCTGTGCTTGCTGCTCTTGGGGCTGCTGGTCGCCGCCGCTGTGTTGCTCGTGGCGCTTCTGCTGGCCGCGGTCGTTGTCTTCGTTGTGGCGCTGGTTGTTGGGTGCGTGCTGTGGTGCTTGTCGCTGGTGCTGGTCGCTATGGTGCTGGTCGCTATGGTACTGGTCGCTGTGGTGCTGTGTGCTGCCGCTGTGGTGCTGGTTGCTGTGTGCGCGTGCCGTGGCGCTGGTCGTTGGCTGCGTGCTGTAGTGCTGGTCGTTGTCGTCGCCGTGGTGCCGGTTGGCGCGGTGCTGGTGTGGTCGCCGTCGTGGTGGTGTAGCTGGTGGGGCTGGTAATGCCGCGGGTAGTAGTTGTGAGCAGGGCCTGCCGTGTAAAGCAAGGCGGGATGTAGCACAGCAGCTGGCCCGGTCGATTTCGCAACAGTTCTTGTCATGCGTGCATGGCTGTCGTGGCGGTGGTGCTGCTGCCGTTGTTTTTCGCCGTCGTGGCTGTGGCGGTGCAGCTGGTGCTGCTGGTGCTGCTGGTCGCCGTCGTGGTGCTGGTCGTTGCTGTCTTGGTCGCCGTCGTGGTGGGCGCCGTGGCGGGCGCCGTCGTAGTTTTCCCCCGCCTGTGGCCGCAGTTGGGTGCTGGCTGCTGTCGCTCTGGTCGCTGCGGTGCTGCCTGCTCTCGCAGCGCCCGTGGCGAAAGTGCGCTCTGGTCACGAGCGGCGCGCCCTCGCCGACACCCGCCCGCGCCATCTCACGGTCAGCGTCCTGTCGCCGGTGCGGGCGCCGGAGCTGAGGAGTACCCATCCCCTTCATAGGGCGCTGGCTGTCCTGGCTTGGCCTCCTGGTCGCGGCGGCCCTCGCCATGCCTTCTCCTGCCGCCCTCCTGTGCCTCCTCACGCGGCTGCTGCTGTGCGGGCGGGCTCTGGTGCTGTCGCTGCCGCTCCTCGTCGCGTGTCGCCGCGCCCCTGGCTGCGGCGAGTGCCTTCCGGAGCTCGCTTTGCGCCCGCCTCGCGTCGAACCTCGCGGCCAGGCAAGCACGCCGACGCTCGAAAGCCGCCGCCTGCTCCACGAGCGCGTCGTGCTCGGCGTACGCGGCCTCGAGGGCACTGGCCGCCAGCCGCCGCGTGGCTCGCCGGCGGCCGCGGCGAAGGACCCGGCGAGCGTAGGCCGCCCGGCGCGGCGCCCTCTCGTTCGCGCCTGCCCCTTGCGGCGCCTCGTGGTCGCGTTGCGCCTCCTTTGCCTCCTCGTGCTGCTCTCTCGCCTCTTCCTCCTCGGCCTCGTCAGGTGCGTCGCCCGGTGCTGGCGCCGAGCGTCGCGGTTGCTGCTCTGGCTGTCGCGCCTGGCTCCCGAGTGGTCGCCTCGGGGGCCCTCGCCGCACCAGCGTCCAGAGGCCAGGCGGCGGACCCGGGTCGGGCGGCGACGGCGGCCCCACGCCGCTTGTCCAGGAAGCCCCAAGGGGGGTCCCCAGACCCTTCGTGGACCGGGTCTTCCTGGTTAGACCCTGGCGGTGTCCACCCCCGGGGGGGTCATGTCTGCCAGGGTCGGGCCGTCGCGTCGTGGCGCCAGGGCTGTCGTAGTCGTGTTGCTGGTGCTGGTGCTGGTGCTGGTGCTGCTGTTGCTGGTGCTCGCCGTCGTTGCCCCGCCGCTGGTTGCGGTGCTGTCGCTTGTGCTCGTCTTCGTCTTGGCGGTGGTGCTGCTGCTGGTGCTGCTGGTCGCCGTCGTGGTGGTGCTGGCGGTTGCCGTTGTGGTGGCGGCGTTGCGGGGCGCCGTCGCGGCGGCGGCGGTGCTTCTCCTTTGCCGCTGTCGCCTCCTCCTCCTCCTCCACCTCCTCCTCCGCCTCCTCCTCCTCCGCCTCCTCCTCCTCCGCCTCCTCCTCCTCCTCCGCCTCTGCCGCCTTTTCCTCCTCTTCCTCCTCTTCCTCCTCTGCCGCTCTGCCTCTGGCCCTGCTCGGCGTCGCCCTCTGCCGTGCGCCCGGCCTCCCTTCAAAAGCGGTGGCCGCCCTCCCTGTGCAGCCTCTG